GTCTTCATGTGATACTATGGACCATTTTTCAAGGTCCCTACCTTGGAAAATAGACCTATTGCATCGCATCTTGGCCTGCTATGTGACATAGCATGTCTCTATGCAATGCAATTTTCTTGGCAGTGAGAGCAATGAAAGGGTAGAGCTGTGTGGGAGAAAGGTTTGAACAAAGGGGGTGAGGGACTAAATTGGTGATGTAGTGTATAGTGAGTCCACAACAGTACAGATGACAGTAAGGTGATGCTGATGACAGTGTGTTTGACACATACATGTTACATGACACCTTGTTGTGTAAAGTGTACACAACACCTTGTCATGTAAAGTGTACACAACAGCCCTTTTCATCTAGTGTGTTCAAGTGGTTGAGGTGATGTTCTGCTGCTGGACTTGAAATCTAGGAGATGGGGGTTTGAAACTCCTATGCAGGTTCAAACCAGGTTGGTGTCCCTTTGTGTGCACACTTCAAAACTTCATAGCAGGGTACAACTTTTGTGAGAATGTCTGTTTTTGTTTGATAAAAACAACATGTGACCACTATCCTCCCATTGACCAGTTGGATAGGCCCATGCAGGAAAAAATGAAGTCAACAATTACTTCAAAAAAACATGAATTGAATTCTATATAGTATGTCAACAAAGAGCCCATGACTAGAATTTATTTTTAAAAAAAACATAAAAAAACATAAGCACTCAATATCCAATACATCAAAAGCCCTTTGCTGGGATTGGACTCCAATCTCAACTTTCTTCCTACCAGTTGAGATTGAAAGCAGATTGAGCATGGTGAGCTTGGTCTAGCTCATGTTTGAGCTCTGTACTTACATACACCACAGGAGGGTGTAAAGGTGTGAAAATTTAATGGTTGGAGCATGGTTTTGAAACTCAGTTTTTATTTTAGGCCTAAGAACCATTCCAGACATGAGCACTGCACATTGTTTTCAAGACAGCTTTTCTATACCAATGTCAAAAAGGTCTTCAGAGGTACCTCAAGCTTACACTGCCCATTTTGAGCCACTCCAACTGGCACATCTCATGTGCTTCCAGACCATGGATGTTTAAAAGTTGTCAGAGTACATGAGGTCATTGATGTCTATAATTTAGAAAGCAATTGCATCAGACATTGAAACTCCTGTCTGTTAGCCTGACCAAGACACTGTGTTCAAGTGGCTAGGGAGATCCTGTCAGGGGGGAGCTTCTGTTAGGCTTCCTCCTGGCTAAGGAAGTTTACTAGACCAAGGGCTGATTAAGCCCTAGAAGGGTCTACACTGGAGTTCCCCAAGTGTAGACTACAGTTAATTGACCTCTAATGAGAGGATTTGGATGAAGCTCTTGGGACTTACTCCCTGAGGATGACCTGTCTTTGAAGCTGGGCAAACAACTTCCTGCAGAATCTACCCTGACAATAGGCCTTGTTGGGAGTTCTTATGAATCCTCAACTTTGCTCCTTCCTATAGAAGCTTATCTTTTACTCTAAGCCTTGGTGAGATCTTACTATCACCAAGGAGGCCTAGAGAGAGGTTGCAATCCTCCTATTGTTTGGTTAAGTTGGACTTCTGGTACTAACACCTGATGGACCTTTGCACTATTGAGCTGATATATTCTATAGAAGATATCCTCAAGTGTGCTAGTGGTTCAATTTGGTGGTTTTTGGTAGAAGGTGAGGAGAGAGGCTCACTGCTGAGCAGGAAAGGAGGGTTTATATACCTTTCAGGCTCCCTCCTCCTCACTCTTAGGTTATGGGCTGGCTTGTGGTTCCAGCTCATGCTATTACATGGCCATGTGGGCCAGTCTGTGGTTTTGTTACTCTAGTGGCAGGGCCTGCTGATTGGCTCCTGTCATAAGTATATCATGCTTATGACTCTTGAAACTGAGCCTGAGGTGAAGTTTCATGTTACTACATTAGTGTTACATATGTATCACACTATGTGCTCTATATGTAATACTTATGTTACACATTGTACATTATGTATTACATCTTGTTATACATGATTACTGTGTGTAATCATGATTATTTCAGTCTATGGGACTGCTGCACAGTCCTCAAGGCTGACAGATCCCCTGCTATTAGATTTGAAATCTAACAGACAGGAGTTTAATTCTGCCAGTGTGGGTTCAAATTGCATTGGTGTTGCTTTTTGATGCTTGGAAAGTTTGTGTCCTCCAGGTCTTCTTTTGCTCCTCTTGGCCATGACTGTCTTTCTCTCAACATGCAGGCATAAGGTGTGTGACCAGGTGGGGTAAAAACTTTATGTGACACAGTGATAGTCACCACATGCAAAATGGTGTGGCAAAACCTGTTGCAACAAGCCATCACACTGGTTGTCACAGGTGTGGAAGTGTCTCTCCATTTTTCTCACTTTCACACTAAACCTTTGTGGCACTGCCTTTGGTGTCACAAACTTTTGCTGTGACAGAAGGCTCCTGATGTGACATTCAGCTCTTATTAGTGTATGTTAGTGAGAGATGGAGATATGCAAATAGGTTGGGAGATCTGCAGCTCCCTGGCCTTGTGAAGTTGCAATTGATGAATAAAAAATCAGCCAAGACTGAATTTCATATCAGAGATCAACCAAAAAAGCCCCCCCATCCCACCCATACTATCATATAACTTCAAGGGATTTCCTTCCCATAACCATATCTTTTTTCCTTTTTTCTTACTTTTTAGTATCTGTTTCCCAATTCATACTTGAACCTCACAAGACATCAATTTTTGGCTCTTTTCTAGTATGTTTGCTAGCACTCTTAACCATTCACACATCCTTACTCAATCCTCAACCAATCTCAACCATTCTATCTAATTGTGTGAAGCTTTGAGTAAGATCAGTGAATTGCCGAATCACAAGATTTTGAAAACATGTGAAAATATTTTTTTTGCTTAGACAAGATTAATGAGAGGAGTGAGGATGAGGTTATAGTTGAAATGATAAAACAAAAACAGTGTTCATCTATTCCAATAATTGGGGATCACATTGGAAAACTTGCATATGGTTTCAAATTGAGCTCTCTCATAATGATGGTATCCAAAACCCAAAAAGAGTGTCCCAGCAGCATCCACAAAAGTGCCCAAAGAAGTTTCTGAGACCCTCAAAGATGTCCTTTGTGGACCTGTAGTGTCAAACTTCAACAGTCATGAATGAATTATTTGCGACCGCAATTTGGTGTTGCAGACCTATGCTGTGACACCAAAAGCGGTGTCGCAAATGACATCTGTGACAGTTGACAAGTGTCGCTCAAAGAATTCATAACCGACCGAAACTGTGACGGCCTGTCCCAACATATTTTGCACCACCATTTTTGAATGGTGAGGGGTGTTAGCTCATTTGGTAGAGCGTTCGCTTCGCATGTTGCGAAGATCCTGCGAAAGGTCCGGGGTTCGACTCCCCGATGCTCCATTCTTTTGTAATCACTTGGCTTTTTCGCTTGTCACACATAGGCTTTGTTAAAATATCTCTGAGGCACGGTTGCTTGTGGGCCTTTTGCAGAAAATCTGTTTTTTGTTAATTGGGATGTCTAGCTAGTAATTGGTGATGGTATCACGTTTTTCACTGATTGTCAAGTTTTAATAATGTCATAAGGCTCCCTCTTTTTTGTGTCAGAATACCTGCACTTCTTCTATCTTAAGCATACAACAACAATCAATCGATGAATATGTCCAGGTTGGCCAAGTTTTTGAAGTCAAAGCAGGGGGGCCATTTAGGAATTTTATGCTTACCTAGGGCCTCAAGATGGGCTGAAAGTATTCAAAGCTCAGAATGAGGTCTCAGAAGTGGTCAGAAGAAGAGACCTCCCAGATGCCCAAGAAGGCCTGTCTGTTTATGTCCAACTTGTGTAAGCTGCAGGCCCAAAGTGAGTCTTGCTCAGTCTTTTTTGGTTCAGAAATGAGCTGGGGGGCATCGCTCGTGCCAAAGTGTAAGAGTATCCGACCCGGATCACTGTACCCTCTGCGATCGGGCTCGGGTTTATCTCTGACACCCACCACACCGGAATTCGGGGTTAGAAAATTGTTGAGACGGCTCAAGAGTCAGGAGAGACGAAGACGAGGAAGACCAAGCAAGACCAAGAAGTATCGACGAGAAGATGGACATCCCTAGACTTTTATCACTTCTGGGCGTTCTTTACCCTTCTCCATCGACACCGATTCACATGTTCCCTTCTCAAGCACAGCAGGCTCAAGCACAGAAAGCGGTTTATGATTACATGGCAGATCCATCAGCATGGTCATTGGCCGGTCATATATTAGACTCGTTAGGAACAGCCGAGTGGGCAGAGGTCAATCATATTTTACATCGATCATTTGTTATTACAAAGCCTCATATATCATTCACTGACTTGTTTTTCAAACATATAAATCAATTTTTTTTTTATTTTTATAAAATTTAATTCGTCCAGGATACCAACACACGCTTCATAGCAGCTCACACCCTTGCCGTTAAAATTTCTAGAGATTGGGATAGCCTACCTAGTGATCAATATTTAACTCTCAAAAATCGACTTCTTCATTGGCTTCAACAGAGTGCCTTACGTCTTAGCTCATCTTCTTTTTCAACATCATTTAATGATTTAACACAAAAAACTTTATTTCCAGGGGAAAAAATTGTCCTACGAAAATTGGCTGTCGCAGTTAAGTGGTTTTGATCAATTTAATCTTTTTGAATCAAGTTTGAAAAAAAATAAAAAGAAAATGATCAAATTAGTAAATTGAGATTAATCTCGCTTTTACAAAAAAAAAACAGGTATCTGCTTTATCGTTGAGGCTTGTACCAGCACCTTTAAAATTTTGGGATCAGTGGCTTTTGGAAACCATCACAACAGTATCAAGCTCAGGTCCACTCACTGAATCTTTACTAGTCATTTTGACCGTGGTTGCCGAAGAAGCCGCGCGTGCCGACTTGATTGGACCTCGTAGGTTGGCATTTTTTCCTTGAACAATCGTCATCTCTAACCTCCTCGTTTCAAAGTCTTACCTTTGCAATATTGTTTTCTCTTCATTCAAAAGAGTGCAGTACGATCAATCAATTCAAGACGGTTGCTCTTTGGTAGTCAGGACGTTGGTCGACTCACTGACATCTGACTCCTTGTCCACCAAGATCTCCGCCTTGATATGTAGTCAAGCCTGGTTGTCAGCCTCTCATTTCAATATAGAAGGGCCTATGACTCTCTGGCCTATCCTACTCGATCTTCTTCAAAATTCGGTTTACTTGAAAGCATATGTGAGTGACGCCGGTACGGACCATCTCCCTAGTGAAGAGGAGGATATTACTCAAAGGACTGCCGAGTGTATAGAAGAATTAGTGTCTGGTAGCAATGGAGGCTTGAACTGTGGGTCTGGTTTTGTGACCAGCACGCGTGTAGTGCCACTGTTGGATTTGTACGCTGGTGACTTGATGGACGCGGTAATTGGACAGGCGGTGATGAGTAGGTCACATACGTATGATTCAAACTGGTATCTTCTTCGTCACACCATCTAACCTCTACGTATGGTCAAAATTTGTTTCATAGCGCGCGATGTTCCCGACGCGATCTTGGCAATTTTCAAATTATTTGTTTCACTTACAGAACACTCAATCTCTCATATCGCCGCTACCCTGCCATCACCAAGAAGTTTGATTCTGCTACGGAGATTGTTGAACGTGACTTTATTTCCTGGCTACTATGGAATTGATGAACAAGTGTCCGCACTGCCTCTGCCCATCTGGACTCTATTACAAGAAGAAATAACCGACCTGGGATATCTAGGGAACCTCGACGACGCCTTTCAAGACAATTCAGATCTGCCTGTGGAATTGATCGAAAACAACAAACAACTCAAATCGTTGGCTAATGAACTCTTCAAAGCTTTGTCTCAGGGTCTGAAGGTCAAAGCGACTTGGCCCAAGCATAGCGAACTGACCTCGGTTTGGACAAAAGACAGGGTTATCACGTTCCAAAATCAGACGCGTGTGGACATTGGGGAAGCTTTACTGGCTTGTTACTATGTACGCCGGGACGAGATGTTGAAAGATATGACGAACGAAGTTAAGTACTTAGTCGAGAAGCCGCAGGGGTTTGATGAATGTTATGAGGTATGTCCTTTGCCCCTTTTGTCATACTTTCTAGTCATTATTCAAATCGACGTGTTACAACGCTTGCTACGCCATCGACGAAAGCCACAATTCTTTCAATACACCATGATGTTGAAGGATCACACATATCTTTGAACACTCTCTTGACGTTAGACATCGGTTTGCGAGCTGCATGTTGTCAAATGTTAAGCGTTGGTATGCATGCCCCTGGACCCAGGCGCTTCGGTAATCGTCGTCACATTTGAAAGAATCATTTCCAAGAAATCAAACGTTATATGTAAAGATCTTGCCGCTGACCTTGACTCGGCACTATCTTCCTCATGAAAAACCTGTTCGCCAAATATTCTCGTTTCCAAAATCAATACAAGGATCTAGAAGCGTCTTTGTTTTGCATTCGAGCCATTCAAGAAGGCATTCCATCAGAAGAAGAAACCTGTCTACCTGCTTTACTCGATTCTACTGTATTACAGAAACTACCCAAAGGACAGTCCGTCGCACTTTCAAGACTAACAGGCACTTGTTTAATTCTCATAGGTACGCAAGTTGATCATGACAGCCATCCTCACCCATCACCGAGAATTTGTGAAAAGTGTCGTCATTCTCGGACATCTTGTGGTTAATGTCAATTCCGATTTTTTTTTTAGGCGGATTTGCTGAGTGGTTAAAGCAGCGACCTGAGCAACTGTTGACATGTCTTAACTGGGTGGCGCCTTCGCTAAGCTCGCATGACGTTGATCTGGTTTCCTTGGCGGCGAATGCGTTTCGAAGGCTTTGTCACGAGGGGCGTAAGACATTAGTGAATGATATCGCACCATTGGCTCAATTGATTCGATCAACAGAGGGACGAATTCCGGTGCGCAGAAAGATAGTTTTGTTTTCGAATTGTGCACTGACAACTGTTGTATCCCCGTTATTTGATCAACATCAGCATGACGAATATAACAAAGTACTTCAGTCGGTGGCTAGCGTCCTGCAGGCCTTACCACCGGTATCATTGGTGGAACCGATTCTAAGCTTGTTGGGACCTGTAATAGCGAGGCTTGATCATGCTACACAGCTATATTCCGAAGTAAGGAGTCATTGTTTGTATGGTGTGCTACGGATCACTCGCCAATGCTCTTATGCTTTTCTGCGCTTTCATCTCCTGCTGATCTCCGTTCGGACATCAGACACGCGATCCTGAACAACGGCAGGTCATCATCACTCAATTGCAGCAGCTAAAAGCTGCTAATATGGGCCTCTCTGAACCCGACGAAGGCTTGATTTTACTTGACCTAGATAATGATCTTGCTGAACAACAAAAAATCAACGAGTTGGCTCAACTTGAACCAATACAGTCTTTGAGATCAAATGTAGCAAACCTCGTCTGTAAAACAATTTCTCTCTCAGTAGGAGATGTTGACCTGGCAATCGTTGCGTTTTTTTCTCTACTTTTGTTGTCTTATTTTATATATATATATCGGCAAGCTCTCATAATTGTGGCCAAATTTACTAATACCTTCAACAGGCTATAACCGAACTATTACGAACCTGTACTTCTCATGGAATTCCAACAGCCATATCACTCGAACCGTTCCGAATTTTAATCAGTTGCATCTCGAACATTTCAAACGACCCCACCAATTTAGCAATATGGTTTTCACTCTCAACTTCACTTACGACCGCCACTTCTAGATCCAAAAGCAAAGAAATGATGAGTAAAGATTATGATATGATTGCGCAATGTGTCAAAGAGGCTGTCCGAGTAGCAAGAGAAGCTTTAAATGGCGATGGAGCGATGAAACAACAGCCAGATTTAGTCCAAACCTTTTTGCAATTTTGTGTTGCGGTGAGTGGCTCATCTGATGCTTAATTGAGAGTACGGTGATCGCTCAATTGTCGCTTTCGTCTCATCACGACACCTAGGTTACCGAGTCATACATAGACGTCTTTGAACTTCTCCATGATGAACTTGAAACAATTGCTGTGATCGCGATACGTGGATTGAAGATTGATGAACGTGTGGCGCTGCAAGCTGCGCTTGATGTTTTAGTATGTGATGACTATCTTGAGTAGAAGATCTTGAAATGTTGAAGAGATGTCTGATGTCGAATATGAACTGTCCAGAAATGTTTTGCACAAAACACACGGACTAGTCTTAATCCGGCTCATTCAAATCTCTTTGTACAACTCTTGACGGCTCACGCTTATGAGATTCTTGACAGTATCATTTTGGGGATCGGTGGTGGATTACCTAGGAGTGTTTTGGGATCGTTAAGTGAAACTTTACATTGCTTTTTGATCAGGTTACCTGATCTAAGTCGAGCATGTCTAAAAACGATTTTAGAAAA